ACAAGGAGCTAATCATCTTGCTTCACTGCATTTGCCACTCTTCAAGAATAGGGTCAGAACTGATTGCTATACCTTGGGAAAAAATTTCAGGGATGGGATCCTTGCTATTTTCCACAAGGGCATTACAATGCTCGACTTCATCCCCATCAGCTTACCAATTATGCATTATGCTTTTACAGCACTGAGCTGTAAAGCAAGCACTCAGCTTGACTGCGGTCATTAAGCAACACAGGAAAGTTAAAGATGCGACCCTGTATCACAAAAGAAAAGGTTACACACAGACTGTGATGTGAAACCATCCTGTCACTGCATGAGGAGGAGGACCATACTCTGCTTTGCCCATTTAGCCAACAGGCAGATTCCCTGCTGAGGCAAACCAGCACAGCATCCCAGCCTTCGGCTGAGCAACAGCTCGCTGCAGCAGCTGCAACACCAGCCATTTCTGGACACTGCTGCAGTTAAAACCCAGAGCAACTGTCTCAATTGTACTTTACCATTCCAGCTCACATGTTTGAAGAACCAGTATTTCCCTCCTCCATAGTTAACAAACACCATAATTACAAGAGAGAGCCTAAAAAGACAACAAAACCACAAAGTATCACATGTCAATGAAATATTTGCATATTTATGAACACAAATTTAATGATTACTACTCCCACTAATACATTTCTAACTCTGAGATTTGATTTATTTTATTTTTAAAGTAAGATTTCCAAGGTTTCCAGCTTTACCAACCAGTAAGCTACGTTTCAAAAACCATGGGTGGTGGTGAACCAAAGCAAGCTCCTTTGCATAGCATTTTCACACTGAACACATTGTTCTTTTGCACCCTCTGCCACAACTTTGATGTTTCCTCAAATTAGATCAATTACTAAATATTTCAGAAAATCTGAGAATTAAAATCTTGATTAACTTCCAAGTAAAACTGACCACCTTGAACTGTCCATCTGCTATATATTGCCATGCACTGTCAAATCACCACTGGGAAAATCTCATTCCCCTTGGAAGAGCTGCTTTTGAGCAAGCTGTTAGCTCACCCTCGGAAGGTGTCAAGGGAACGCAGCCGCTGTCGAGAGCCCGTGCTCCAGGACTGCGGGGTAGGATCGCAGTTAATGGAGTCTGTGTTCGGGGATCCGAGCTCCTTCGGGAACAAACCAGACACATGAAGAGCAAGTCAGCAGCTGCACCAGCTGACTTGGGAACAAAGGATAGTGAACTGCAAACTTTCACACACACTGTCTTTATTCTCCCTATCTTCTTTTGTCTACTTCTAACCTCTTCCTGGCTTCACCACATTGCAGTAACGCTTGCAGATGCTCCAGACTCTACCTTTGACCAGGTAGAAACAAGAATGCAGTGAAATCAGCCTGTGCTTGATACTCATTAAAGCCGGGTCCCCTCCAAATCAGCCAGAGACCTGCCAACACTCTGAGAACTGCTTTACAACAGAGCTAAGCAGATCCAGTTGCTAACTCTCAAACAGGACCCCCAACCTATCAGCACTTGTCTGACACCACAGAGGGACTGTTTCGAGATTGCCGTAGAGCTTTCTTCTAAGTCTTTTGATTCTAGACCTCTTAGATATGAAGCCCAGACTGTGATTTGTGATAAACTATCTATATTCTAGTACAAAATGAGGATCCCATAGAAATGCCGGTTCTAGGGGTGCTGGAGAAATTCTGATTTCATTTTTTTGCTAAATTCCTGCTGTGCTGGAAGCAGCAATGAAGGCTGTGATTTCCCTTACACTGACTGTGTTAGAAGAGGGCACAAAGCTGTATGTTCAAAACTTGCAAGAGCTTTAGAGGGAATCCACTACACTTGCATGGAAACCCAGTCTAGCACTCTCCATTGACATAAAATTGCGTATCTGACATCAAAACAAGATTTGCTAAGGGGAGCACACATAAGGGGAAGATGATTAGTAATAAACAAGTCCCCAGATGTCCACATAGTGTGCTTCTCAGAGATGCAAACACTACAGAATGCAAACTAAAGATACTGTGGTCACTCACGGAGTTAATCATACGATCAGTTGCTCTGGGATTCAGTTTCTTGTAAACCCAGTTTCTGACTGGATCAATTCTGAAAATGAGTGTAACAGTTTAAAACACAAAACAAAGCCAAAAGTACTTTATAGTTAATTTCACCATAATAGAAGCTATTTAGCAGAATGAAACAAAAGTCTTGACAGTTCCTATTTACAGCTCACATAGGTAATACTGAGATTCAGCCAGCACTTAGGATCCCAGTTAAGTCCAGCTGTGGAAATACACTGACACAAGCTCATGTTTGGGGGTTTTATTCTCGGGTTGCTTACAGGCAAGCATGACTTACATCATTCAGTAAAGGGTAGAAGGTTGTATTTGTTACACACACTTTGGTCCCACTGCCTTGGATTACTGATCCAGAGCTAGACAAGTAACATCAGGGTGCAGCAGGGTGTGTGTGAGCTTACAGTGAACATCAGCTGCTCTGCACACAAACTACCAAGGCTGCAAGATATCCCTTGAGTGAAATCACATTACTCGATGTTTCTTGCCACATGTGCCACAATGTACACATGGCATCTGATAACAGGATCTGATCTGCAAGCAGGGCTACAAGTGGGACTCCCAAAGTATTACCACACTGAGCTGTGTGGTCTTAAACTGGTACATGCAGGAGGAAGTTAACTTACTTCATTAGAAGGCGCCCAGCAATCAGGATAGCAAGGATCCCCATGTAAACCAGGAAAGCAAAGAGAATAGCTACATGAAAAGAACACAACTCTATAAATGATCTAACAAAACCATTCAGCAACCTGGGCTTGGCCAAGTGTGACACAAACACAACACAAAGCCCAACTCACTGATCATCATCCCACCTTCACCATGCAATATACATCCCAAAGGAAAATAAAAACCCACAGCAAAACCCCCAAACTACCCAACACAAAAGCAAGTTAGTTTCAAAGTGTAGCTCAGTGATACCCCGTCTCAGCATAAAAAGAGCAAAATAAAACTGCATTGCATCACAAGACACTAGTGAGAGAAGAGCTGATGTGCTGTCATATGTTCTGAAGAAGGAAGCAGAAATTTAAAAATAGCCTCAACATGAAGAAGATAGAGAAAAGAGCAATACACCTAGTTAGCAAGCATGGAGAATTTTTCGTTACAGTTAGGAAACTAGAAGAACGGAAGAATAATGTAATGGAAAAGAACAGATAAACACAAGAGTTTGAAACAGTCCTGGATAAGAGATGAACAAAAAAGAAAGTCAGGTTCTAAATTAAAAGTGCAACAAGAAAAATCCAAACAAACACTATGTGAATTGTTTCCCATTTCGTGAGAGAAGATAGAGGGAAGAAGAGGGAGGATTCTGTGTATATACAAAAACATGCAGGGAAACAGGAAGTAATATTTCCCTCCAGACACATACCCACTAATTTTCTGTACTAATGCCTGCTGCAATACTGTTGTAGGCAGACAGGATATCACGTGCAGAGGCCTGATGCTGGTCAGGGCCTCAGGATAGGTGTATAAAACATAAGGAGGTAAGGATGTCAAGAAAGAAGAGGAGCAAGCCCATGACAACTCTTCATCACAGCATGAGTAGCTGCACAGGCTTCTTAGGAAGCTGGTTCTGCTGGGAGACATATGGGTTGTAGAATGAAAGGGAAAAAGAGAGCTCTACATACGGAGGTAGCTGTTGATAGGGCCTTCATTGATGATTAGGTCACAAGAAACAGTTTGGGTGCTTGTACTTAGGGTCTTTACCACAAGGGAATAATTGCCAAACTCTCCAAAATGATACTGAATCCTGCAAATGATAAAGGAAACAAAACTTGGTGAGCCACAGCCAGTACATGCAAGTACCACTGCAGCACTTAGGGGAGCTGTCAACCTGAATGCTTTAGGAAAGGCAAGCCAAAAACTTGGACCAACACTGTGATCTAGCATGGAACTTGCCTCTTCCAAGCATTTCCCTCCCCTAGCCCAGCACCAATTCTTTACCACACATGCACTGCCATCATTTGTCTTCTTGAACTAGAGACTCCCTGCAAGAGAAACCAGGTGCTTGCACATGCTGCCTCAGTGAAGACCGTTTTTGCTCCTGCTTGCACCTAGATCCTTTCAGCACAATTCCAAAGTACACCACTGTTACAGCAGTGGGATGAAGACTGAGCTCTAGGTCTAAACAGTTGGGAAAAAGGAGGAGATGAGCAGGCAATGAAGAGGCACATGGCTCCAAGGGAAAAAAAAAAGAAAAAAAGAAAAAAAACCCAAACCAACAATAAACCAAACCAACACAAATACAGGATAGAGCTATCCATGTATTCCCTGGGGCTGGGCCACCTACTTGCAGAGATCTCTGTCACCCACAGAGCTGTTGAGCAGCAGGGTGAGTGGATGCTGCGTATCAACCATTACCGACACCGTGCCCGGTTTTCTCAGGCTCTCGTTGCTTGGTGGGACAAACGCCAGGAACTGATACAAGCACTGTGGAAGAAGAGGGTGAAGGGAGCACATTAGTGCCAAAGGAGAGTGAAAGGGAGTTCTGCCTTGCATGGTGGCAAAGACAAGGAAAGATGCCACGGGGCTGGAGCATCTCCAGCTGCGGGAATTTCCTGCGTGCTGCTCGAACGTAAAACCGAAGCGAAGCCACCTGACGAAGCCACGGGGAGACGGCGGAGAAGCCGAGCAGCCCCGCGGCTGGCCGGGCTGTCAGAAGCGAAGGCCGGGGGGCGACCCCCGCCCGGCACAGCCCCTCACCTGGTGGCAGGAGCCGGAGCGGGCGGCGAGGTTCAGGCCCGGGGCGGGCAGCTCGTTGCGGACGAGCAGCAGCGCCTGGTCCATCCGCCCCGAGCGCCGCCGCTCCGCCGCCGCCGCGCCGCGGGCCCCGGGCGCGCCCTGCCCGTCGGGCTGCGAGAGGCCGGGCGCCATCAGCAGCGCGCCCAGCGCCGCCGCCACCGCGGCCGCCAGCCCCGCCGCCGCCGCCATCGCGCCGCGCTCCGCCCCGGGGCGGGGCCGCCGCCGCCGCCGCCCCGCGCGGCCGCGCTTCCCGCTGTTTTCCGGGGTCGGGCGTCCCTGCCCGCGCCGCCCGCAGCTCGGGCCCGCCCGCGCCGAAACACGGCGCGATGCGCAGCGCGGCCAGCGTCGAGCCTGCGGCCGCCTTTAACACGTCCCGCTGCCACGCGTAGCTCTGCAGGCTCCGGACCGCGGTGCCCACGGGACGACTGGGCAGCCGGCATTGAAAAAGCCGTACAGGCTTTTCATCCCCGGGCTGGGAAAAGGGTCCTGCTTGGCCTCCGTCTTCCACGGAGGATGCGGAAGGCACGGCCATGGAAAAGAAACCGCATTTCGTCAGGAGGGAGTTTCTTCCCAGAGAGGTGCCACCCATATCGCTGGCGTTACTGCTTGCGGCCGTCCTGCTCCTTAATGCCCTTCTCTACCTGTATCTCAACAAGTTTTCCAGCTCTCTGGGACGTGTCGAAATGGACTCTGGCCTCTGTCCTTTTGGGCATTTCAAATTCGGAGCGGTGAAGAATTGTTCCCCGTGGCTTTCCTGCGAGGCCATAAATAGGGAAGTCAGGAAACTCAAGTGTGTTGGTGAAGGTGCTGTGAAAAAGGTGAGTTTGGATTCCTTTTTTCTCTCCTCTGGATAAAGAGTTTTCACAGTTTGCTGGCTAATTAATGCCAGCACTACTGTTATGATTATCCTCTCGGCAGCTAATTACGGCAGGCATCCGGGACCATACGGCTACTGATAAGGTGAACACAACAGGTACAAGAGCATGACCTGGGCCACCTCTCTGACACCCAACAACATCCAGCTACGCAAGCAAAATCACGGATTGGTACAATCATGGCAGAGTAAGATTGGCTGTTTGGGTGATATAAAATAACTTAATTCATATGCATTGTCAGTTCCAAAGAAAACTTAGGGAATCGTGATATAACTGGCATCAGAAAGGGCTTGCTATGACAGGTACATGGCTCTGCCTAAAGCTGACTGCCTGGTGACTGTAATTTGCAGTTATGACTAACCAGTCACAGGAAGAGGTCAGCAGCAGCTGGTAGCAGTTCATAGAAGAAGGCTCTCCACATATCTTATGTGTTTCTTGTGTGTTCTCAGGTCTTTCTTTCTGAGTGGAAGGAAAAGAAAGTGGTCCTTTCACAGCTCACCAACTCAGAGCTGAAGGAGGACTTTCTCCATGGACTGAAGATGCTGAAAGCCCTTCAGAGCAAGCACGTTGTCCGTCTGCTTGGCTACTGTGAGCAGCAGTTCACGATCCTCACTGAGTACCATCCTCTTGGTTCACTGAGAAGCCTGAATGAAACTCTCCACGTTCCCAAGTACAAGGGCATGAACACCTGGCATCGCAGGCTGATGCTTGCTATAGACTACGTGAGTGTCATTCGGTACCTGCACAGCAGCCCCCTGGGCACCCTAGTGATGTGCGACTCGAATGACCTGGACAAGGTTCTCTCCCAGTATCTCCTGACAAGTGACTTTCACGTTCTGGTGAATGATTTGGACGCTTTGCCTCTTGTGAACAGGAGTGCTGGCAGGCTGGTGAAGTGTGGTCACAGGGAGCTCCGGGGTGAGTTTGTAGCTCCTGAGCAGCGTTGGCCCTATGGAGAAGAAGTGCCATTTGAAGATGACCTCATGCCTCCCTATGATGAGAAAACAGACATCTGGAAAATCCCAGATGTCTCCAATTTTTTCTTGGGCCATGTTGAAGGAAGTGACATAGTACGACTGCATCTGTTTGACATCCATGCAGCGTGTAAGAAGAAGGACCCGACAGAACGGCCCTCTGCCCAAGAGGTCTTAGACACCTACAGGAAAGTTTTAACTCTGCTTATTCGGGAGGCAGCCATGCCTAGTACTAGAGAAATGTTATAATGAATCACGAGGCAAACAACATACTGATGTTTTAAGTTGATATCCTTCCTATTTATGTAGCTTGCCTGATGGGCAAAATTTCTGTCCCCAAAACTGAGAAGAACAGCTGAACTTGTAACTCTTGATTAAAAGAAAAAAAATCCCCCCCCAATCCAAGAGCTGTGCAAGCTTTCCATTGGCATGTTTAATCTACCATTGGAAGAGGAGGAGTGAGAGAAAGGAAGTTGTGTGGGTACAGGGGAAATTTGTTCCTTAAAAAATGATACATTTTCTTTTGCAACATTTACACAAAAAGTATCTTAAAAATTACAGAAAAACGGATTAAAAATATTGATCTACCTTGTTGGTGGAGACTGGAAAGCAGAGACCATGGCATGCCCCCCACAAGCTTTGTGCTGGTTGCTGTGGTTTTGGCCTATGTTGTATCCACAAAGCTGTGGCTGTGGCCTATGTTTTATCACCTACTTTCCCATGTAGTAAAAGCAGCAGTCACTCAGAAGGCAGTACCCCATTTCATTTCAGATTTTGGTGAGCCCCAGTGCCAGAGCTGCAGTGGCAGTCTCTCCCTGCTGGCTGGGGCATAGGTTTTTTTGAAGCCATATGCCCTGTATCCCACACCAGCAAGTGTGTGGCCACTCTTGGAAGCAAGAAGGTGATGCAGATTCTGAAGAGTCTGCTTGTAGACACAGGTTCTTGGTTTTCAAGCCTTTGTCCTCTGGTATTCTCAGATGGGCTCTCTAGAGATGAAGCTGTTGAATGCAAATCTCTTGCTCCTCTGTAATCCACAGAAATGCTGAACACTTTGGAAGAGAGCTGAAGTGTGTCTCTTTTTTTTATTCACTTATGCTGGTTTAGTGTCTTCATGATTTGATGGAAAGGACGATAACAAGGAACTGAAAGAGAATGTGACTTCCACAGCAATGAGCATTAAACACAAGCTTTGGAAAAGAAAATTCCTGATTCCTGTATTCAGAGCATACAACTCTATTCAAAGTTCACTAAGGATAGAGGAAGGCTGCTTAAAAGTAGCCTTGTTTGGTGTATTAGGAAAAAGCTTGAGGTAGCCTACATGGATGTAACAACCTGGTACCAACAGCTGGAGAGGAACAACAATGATGCCTTAATCCAGCAATAGGCTGTGTTTGGTGGGACTGGGATCCAGGATGTAGTTCTCTTGGTGAAAAAACAGGAATAACATGAATGAGAAACATAGACTCTACCATTGTCCACCTGAGGACTTTCTGTGCTGTGGACTAAATCTTTGAAAGGCCTAAGAGACAACTTCCATGTTGTGACCTGAGAGGTGATTTGTAAGCAGGGAAGTGCATTGTCCTTTTTAAAGAGTTTGGGTCTGTTCTTTTCTGTGCTGCTATTCCTCTTCACATAAACCAGCCATGTTCTGACTGCATTGAGATTGTGCAGTCATCTCATATGTATAATGTTCAAATCCTGGTATCAGAATTTTATTATAAATGGGAAAAATTTCCTGCAAATTAGTAAATTCATTCCTGATATCATACAATGCCACCAGGAGCCCTTTAAAAGCTGCTGATTATGCCTTTCCTTTCCCCCTGGACAGTCTGTTTTCTTAAATTAGATTTTTGCCATTTTTCACTTGTCCATTCCTTCCTTGCAGCTTTCCTACTCAGGTTGTCAGGAGACAAAGCTCAGAAATCAAGTTCTCCAAAAGAGAGCAGCGATTGTGGATGCTTCGGGTTTGTTTTGTACTTTGACTCAAAACACCTAAAAGAAGCATGGGGAAAAGAAATGCTCTTTGTAAATGCATCATTCAGCCCATGACCTCTTGACTTGTTCTTATTAGGGTGAGAGTTCTACAGTTCCTGTATGAAGACAGGATGTGCAGCAGTTGGAAAAGTGTGTTGTTACAGCTCATTGAAGCCAGGGATAAGGCTTTAGAGGGCCAAGAGTCAAATCTTCTGCATGTTTCCCGCACAATAACTTGTTACCTTTTGTTAGCCATCATGTACACTTGAATGGGAAATCATCATCTGATGGCTGTAAATAACAATTCCATGAAGGGTTTCTAAGAGTGTAGCAAGGACAGACAAGAACCTGACAAACATCTCGTGCTGCTCTCTCTTGGTTAAGACAAGCTTCTGCTGGTATTTGTGCCCTGTTGTGTACTCTTGCACCTTGAAACAGCCATATTAATTTCACAGAGTGAAAAAAATCCACCAAAAAAAATTCTGGGGTGGAATAATTGTCTTGCCATAGAGATGATTCCCTGTTCCTGGATGAAATAGTTACAAATTTTTTTAAGAAAATGTGTCTCCCTAAACATTCACCCTGAGCAGTGGCTTCTCCATGTCTCTTTCCCATTCCCTCTCCTTTAGTTTGTGTGTTGTCCAGTGTTGCATTTCAGCAGGAATAAATCAGATTTGTTCTGAATGCAACATTATGGAGCTGCAGTTTCTTTTTTGGGGTGTTGTTTCTGTCTGTGAGGAAACACTAGATGGCAGCATGAAGGTCAGTTTAGAGTTCGTTATTAGCAGCTGCCTCTGAAGCCCAGACATAGTCAGAATCTGTCCTTGAAGCCAGTATTTTCTTAGCAGACTTCCCTAAACCCATTAAAGATCTCATTGTGTTTGTTTTATTGAGTCTGAAGGAGCAAGACAGATAGGTATAGGGTCTGATCTATTAACCACACATGCCACTTCCCCCTTAACTTGCTCATGGTCTCTGTGTACTTTACTGTCTGTTTCTATCTCAACTTGGTGAGACCAAAACCAAGATTGCATGGCACCTCCTTCCATCTTTCTGTAAAATCAGACGTTTGTATCCTATGCATCTTTCTATTCTTCCCTGCAATCTCAAGATTGCATGAATCCAGTCCTTCCCACATTTCCAGCTTTTTTTCCCTTAAAGGGAAAAGGCAAAGTATCACAGAGAGGGGAAAAAGAGGCAGGACAGCCCTACATGCAGTAGTCTCCCCTCTTTCCAATTCTCTTTTCTGGGCATTTCAGTCTTTACCACCAGTCGCAGCCTTTGATAAACATTCAGGGACTTTGCTGCCTCCGACAAGCGGCTCTTGTCTGTCTAGTGGAAAACATCAAAAGATGAAGGGCAGGAAGAGGCCTGTTCACAGCTGGGGGCCTGTAAGAGCCAGCCAGCTCTAAACCAGTAGCCATGACCTCCCCTGCTAAGACCACTGCCACAGTTCTGCCTAACCTCAACAACACCTGCTGGTTCTTATCTCAAGCTCAGATCAAGTGCTTCACATTCCCTGTCCTTTCCCACAAAAGATGCTTCTCTGGAGATGGTCATTGCCATGTTTCTTACGGTATTACTGTTCTTCCATCCTGAAAGTCCAAAGAAACTGCACAAAAATGCAGGTGACACAAGGAGAAGGACAGTGACTGATGCTTATCTCCTTCAGAAAACTTCAGAGGAGGTTCTCCAAACCACCCTAGGTAGTCAGTGCCAAGGCAGATATGATCCCAGTCATTCCAGGGCTTTTGTTTGCTGTCATTATTAAGATGAAAGCCCTGGGTCTGGCCCCTTTCCAAGGGTCGGGGCAACCCTTTTGCTGAGGTTAGTGTAACCACCTTACCCTTCTCTTTTGGGCAATACCTCCTCTGCCATCCCTGCAGCAGTCCCACAGCGTATTTCACCCACTCCCACCACCCAGCTGCTAGACAAAGAATCAAAGCAGAAGCTGTCTCCTAGACTCAAGAAATAGCACCTGGCTTCCAGACTGAACTCTGTTGGGACACTGCTGTGCTAGCAGTGGAGGAGAGCAGGACACTTAGGGCATGCTAGCTGAGCCTGCTGACAGTCTGGCTGTGGGTGTCAGCTGTGTCAGGGCCCACTGCTGGTATGGTGTACTCTCTCCTTGGCCCAATGCCGTTTTCAAAACAAATTCCCAGTGGATTTCCCACTAAAGTTTAGCTTTTGCCAGGGAGGTTTGTACCACACGTTACAGAATGGAAACTCCTCAGAGGTCTCTTTCTCAGAGCAGAGTCCCAGATTCAGTTCAAATCCACTGCTCCTTTCATTTCCTCCTGAGAACCATCCAGAGAAAGCACTGCCAAGGTTATGCTGTTTTCCTTTCCAAACTGCCTGCTGCCTGCACACTTCTGGGGGGTCGAGTCTGATGGAGCATTTCCCATTTTGTGCTATGCATTTCAGAATACATCCTGAAAGCACTCCTATAACACTAAATGCTGTAGGGGTGAGCAGCCAATATGTAGGCAACTCATCTTTATGTTTGACACTATCAGATGTAAAAAGCAGTGCATGAATATCTGTGCCATCTGTTGTGTAGGTCTGGGTATAGATACGGAGGAAATAAAATGGATAAAATGTATTTAAGCAAGCATTTGTTTCAGTTTTTTTTTCCTTTTTGAAGGATCCGTTGAAAAATCTGTGTTACTCTGTATTTAATAGAGTGGTAACTTTTAAATGTATCAGATGTTGAGAGCACCACACAAAGTTTTTGAAATTCTGTCACAAGCTCTAAAATAATATTTTCCTTTCCACATAAACAAAACATCTGATCGTTATCTTTGTGAAACAGAGGCACTGTTGTTTGCCAAATATAATTTGTGAGCTATTTGGCAGAATATGCAACTGTAAGCTGATTCTATCATTATGACTGTAACGTCTTACCAACAGTCAAGAGACCCTGGGAACAAGAAAAAAGTGGTTTTCAAGTTCTTCTAGCGTGATATAATGTGTATATTTGTAGAGTCCAACCAAATAAATTATATGGTACTTTTAAAAAAGGAAAAGGATTTTGTGGTTTTCTTTTAATCAAGGCACTGTATACTTGAGATGACCACATGGTTTCCAATGATTGTCAGTCTCTGTTCAGAAGTCTGTAATCCAGTATTTATCAGGGTTAAGTGGTGAATATATTTACATTACAGTAATATTTATGTATCAGCAATTTTTGATTCTGTTTATCTCTGGGTAACTCAAAATGCATTTAAAAATATATACTTATATATAGACACACACACACATATTCTTTGGCCATAATTTTTAAAGACCAAGCCTTCACATTTTGGATATACAGTAACCGGATTTTCAAAACTTATAATATTCAGTAGCTCTCAGTCAAATTTATAGTAGCTGCTGGATGCTAATGACTTTTGGAAAAATGAATTCTTTCCCTGTAGCGCTGGAAGACCCTTTTCAGTAATTCTCTTGAAAAACCTATGAGACTGAAGTCAGTACTTTTATCAAGTACTCTCTGGATTTCTTTGTGGAATGAACAAAGTCTCCATAAAAGTTGGGATTTTTAAGTGTTTGTCTCCCTAAGAGCTCATTCCTGGTATGGAGGGAGAGTGGGGTGTTGTGTCTAACTCAAACTGACACCCCCCAGGCTTATTTGCCTGTAATGTTTAAAATCTGGCCACTAAGCTTGGATCTCCATTAACTATGTTGAGCTTATGCCAGTGCCATATATTATTGTTACATATTGGTAGTTGGGTGCCTACAGGCTTTGGCCATGGGCCAGGATCCTGTAGGTCAGATGCTATAAAGGCACAGCACAAAATGACAGTCCTTTCCCTACATGCAGCTTTAGTACAAGAAAATATAAAACAATTTCTGTCCTCAGGTATGAACAGCATACACTAGTATTGGTCATCCCATCCTGCCTCATCCAAGCCACAAATAAATATGCTACCTAACCTACATGGACAGGTAACACAATTTCTCACACAAAATTGCAATTGCAAGGACTGACTATGCTTTGACTGAATTCACAAGCAGCTTGCATTCCCACTTCTGAACGTGCTTTAGGAGCCCAAGACTGAAACAAAACCCCAAACTCTAAAAGGAAATAACAGTGTACCAGATAAGCTAACCTGTAGGCCTAAGAGTCAGCCAACTTTGTTGTTTGGGCCCGATTCTTCAAAGAAGTCATGCAGAAGGCCTGCACCCCCAGAACTTCTATTTCTACAGTCAAATAGGGGGAAGATCACCCCTTTTCCTCCGGTTTGCAAGGCTCTCACACTCAGGGCAGCACCAGCTGTTGTGCTCCTCAGTCTAACCCTGTCCTATCCACTGATTCCCATTTACTTAATTCAGAGGGGTATGTGGAAGCAGAAAATCCATCTCTGCCTGTCTTGTAAGTTGGGCAGGTGGATAATCAAAGTCTGCAATCAAGCATTTAATTAAGTCAAATGAACTGGGCAATGCTGAGTGAGGCAGTCTGTGTGCTGGAGGCTGCAGAGAAGATGCCAGGACCTGAGGTCATGCTTTGTGGATACAGGCCTTGGTTTCCTCTGCATGGGAAGCTGTGTGCAGAGTCCTGGGGTGTCCCAGTTCCTTCCTGGCTTGTCCAGAGCGAGCTGTGGGGTTAATACAAAAAGTGTCTTTAGTTTCAGCTTAAATACAGCTTCTCTCCTCCCCATCCAAGGGAGCCTGATCTCAGCTGAGGTCCAGAGACAGTAATGTACTATAAAGGCACTGAAGTTACTTACATTTGTTCTTTCCACTTTTCTTCAAAGATGTGTGATGCTTTCTTGTCAGGCTTGTTAGCAGAGAAGTTCAACATTAAAAAAAGCAAACAAAAATCCTCAACTTCACAAGAAACTGCTTAAAATCCCTCTGAAACTGTGCTTAATTAAATGTCTTTTGTCATGTTGCATAAGTGACTTGTTTTTTTAATCTCTCTTAGTGGTTTCCACAGTTCTGTGCATGGGTGCCATCCCAATTTAATGACCTAGAATTATGTCTAATTGCTGTTCTATCCTCCTTTCCCACACCATGTGGGGCAAGGAACTTTTCTCATGACACCAGTGCCTTAGGTTTTTATTTTTTATATTGTCATTTTCACTCAGACTCTTTTATGTCCTGATCTAAGGCCTCTTAAAATAAATCTGTTCCATACCATGGAAAGAGAAAGACTTGGAACATCTTGCAGTGAGAACACAGCTCCCCAAAGGACAGAGTTTCCTCAGGCTGATTACACATCTGCAAAGCAAGTGTCATCCAAATGAGGTGTCTAGACTCCTTGCACTCAGTAAGGGATCAGAGCATTTCCCAGGCACAGGAGGTGTGATTCTGAATTTGATACAGGTTAGATAAGTCACACCCTAAAAATACTTGGGGTTTCCCCCTTCATTGTCTTATAAAGGATGAAGATGAATAACCATAACACTAGCACATACCCCAAATACATGCTAAGCAGAGGGACATGGACCATATAATTGATGTCCAGATTGTAACAGTTCTAGTATCTGAAGGAAGATATGGTAAAAGGAAGTACTGGGGGCAGAGGTGGATAGAAAGAAGCTGAAGGCCCTAGCGAATAGCTCACCTAACCTTCTATATAGCTCAAACATTCCACATCAGGCATTAGGGGAAAAGTGTGTGTATGTGAGTGTTAGAGCAGCCTAGTTTTACCCACATCTTGTTAAGCAGTTCAGAAAACTTTTCAAGGTTCTGAACTGAAACACTCGCTCTGCCAAAGCATAATCCTAGAATTGTGCTTTTTGGCATCAGGAGCATATGGACCATCAATTAAGCTATGTTATTCCAGCACCTGAATATCCAGCAACTCCCAATTTTGGTTTTAAAAAAAAAAAAAAAAAAAAAAAAAAAAGTGCAAAGTCTTTCAGAAAGCGGTCTTTCTATTTTGACAAATTTAAACCATTTAGTTCCTATGTCGAAAGCGAGAGCTCATGACAATCTGAACCTTTTTTTTTTGACACCATGCACTGCAAAACTGCATTCCACATAATTCCACTGCAGCTGCGTAAGCACCAGCCCAGGCAGATGAGTCCTCACCTGCTGGGCTCCTAGAGCTGCTGAATTCACACTTCTCCTGGCCCCACACCCATCTGTGCCTTTCCCTTGGATGCTTGCACTGCAAAACCAAAGGACCTGTTATATCTCCAGTGCCCCTGGGACAGAAGTGGTCCCCTCCGCATGTCCTGTCCCCAAGGGTCTGTAGCTGGAGGGGAAGCGAAAGTGTGGGAAGGCACCCAGAGCCTCACGGATAGTCCAGAAAAATTGGATTTGTTACCCGGCGTGGGACAAGCCAGTAATTAAACACCTGAAAGAGACATTGCTTATTCTCTCTAGAGCTCCCTGAAAAGAGCTTGTAGCCAGGCGAGGATCGGCCTCTTCTCCATGGTGACAAGTGACAGGACAAGAGGACATGGTGGTCTAAAGTTGTGCCAGCACAGGTGTAGGTTGGACTTTAGGAGGAATTCCTTCACAGAAAGGGCGAAGAGACACTGGAATGGCTGCCCAGGGAGGCGGTGGAGTCACCTTCCCCGAGGTGTTTAAGGAAAGGCTGGATGTGGCACTTGGTGCCGAGGTCTGGTTGACAAGGAGGTGTTCGGCCACAGGTTGGACTCGATGGTCTCAGAGCTCTTTTCCAACCTCACTGATTCTGTGAGTCTGTGATTTCAGAGTTGCACAAGCCCAGGTGCTGGGTGGCGTCCCACAAATGCGGCGGGCCGACTATCAATTTTTTTCCCGTGCATACATTTTGGCATTAATGCTCCCGGCACATTATTTTAGTTTATTGTAAGCGCTAATCACGACACTTGGCGCCCCGCGGACCCCCCCGCCATGGCGCCCGCCCCGCGCTGACGTCACTTCCCGCGGCGGCGGGGCCGCGCTCCCCATGGCGGCGGTGGTGGGGGCCGGCGCTGCCGGGGCGGGCGGCGGCGCCTCGGCGGCGCTGGGCGACGGCGGCGCCATCGACTACTCGGTGCACGAGGCGTGGAACGAGGCCACCAACGTGTACCTGCTGGTGGTGCTGGCCAGCCTCGCCCTCCTCGTCTACGCGCGGCGGTGAGCGGAGGCCGGGGCGGGGCGGGGCGGGGCGGGGCGAGGGCTCCCGCGGGCGGCAGCGCTCACCGGCGTGCCCCTCCTCTGGCAGGAACAAGAGGAGGATCCTGCGCATCTTCACCCTGCCCCCGGCCGCCGAGACCCCGCCCGAGCCCAACTTCTACGACAGCGTGAAGAAGATCCGCCTGCGGCAGCAGCTGGAGATGTACTCCATCGGTAAGTGGGAGGGAGAACGGGGATCCCGCGGGCCTGCGGCTGCTGGGGCCGTTCCTCCTGTGCACGGAACGGCCCCGGCCCCGTTAGGAGCAGGGCCTCTGCAGCGGCCGCGGATGTTGCGGGAGGAAGTACGGAGCGAGGGAGCGCCTGTGCAATTATCCTAAAGCAAATGTCAAAACCAATCCCATGCTGCACTCTGAAAGAGCTAGGAAGGTCTGGATGTTGTGGAAACGTGAACGGATTTGTAAAAGTTGAGAGGAGTGTGTAATCATGAGTAAGACAACCACATAAATTGAAAATAAATTAGAATTTTACTGTACCAACATGTGTTGCTGCTCCAGTATCAATGCTGAGGGTGAAGATGGAGGCAGAAAAGAGCCCCATGCCCAGGGGGCATAATATCATAATATGGAATATCACATAATATCCCAGCAGTCCAATTCAGAGAAACACAGCTTTGCTTCACATGTGCCCTACATGCATGCCTGGAGGAAATACGGCAAAAACAAAACAAAACAAAAAAAAACCCTTAGTGACCTGAAACCACCTTTTAAATGCAAAGACTTGATGTAAAGATTCTTACACGAGGCCATTGCATTCTGTAGGAAGAAAATTGGATGTTCTTCCTACAGTGGAATGCCTCCTGGCATTTGTGTGCAGTGGTACATTGTTTGTACCACTGCACGCAACTCTTTGATCTCCCTTTGCTTTGCTAACCAGATTAATTTTGAAGTCAATGTAATTGTTAGCTTGTGGCTTGTGCATTGTGGAGGAGATGAGAAATGCGGACATCAACCTTGTGACTATTGAGCTGTTCAGGTCATCAGTAATAAAACTTCTGAAGCCATAGCCTTTAATTTTATTTATTTTTATTTTAATAAAAGGATCTGAATGGAATCATAATCTCTGCCATTGATTCACTGACATTTTGCTATGACTGTACTGTTTAGCATTTACAAAGCCATAGGTGAAAGGTAAAGTTCTACATGGTAACTGAAACTTCCCCTTGTGTGGCTGAAATTGGGTTCTCTGATGCTACATCTGTTTCTTTATTGTTGTCATAGTTACATGATTATATATATAAAAACATATGTGTACATATATATAGATGTATGTAATAAATAATATAATAATAGTAATAATAATATAAAATAAATTGTACAATCAGTATTGATTGGCGTTTCTTTTTTTCAGCAAGGAAGTATGAACAGCAGCAGCAGCAGCCACCAAAACAGGCTGAAAGTGTACAGCTCTCAGTGGAATGAAGCCCACAGTTCTGTAGGAACTCAGGACATATATCCAGTGCCGATTTTAAGAATCAGTGTGGAGCTATTTTCAATGCTTTTTTAATTGACACCTAGCTGAAGGCAAGGGGGAAAGGGAGGGGACTGTCCCTAACAGTTTGTTTTTAGTAGCTTTTCTCTGATCCCTCATGAGGTAAAGCAGGTGCCCACTGGAACATTCAGCATGGAAGTACCCAGCACAGGGCAAACCTGCTCAGAGGAACCTGAGGGTAGGGAAGTGCAGTATTAACAATGTCTGAAATTATTTCTCTCTGCTAGCACCTTGGAAATCAGCTCCTACCTTGTCTGGCAACAGCACCCTGGAGAAAGCGAGGCAGTATTTACCTGCCTAGAAAGCCTTGTGTTCCTTGATGATGAGTTGTTGAATTTGCTGAATACAATCAGTAAGTGTGAATGAAGGCACTGTGGCCGTACTGCCTGGTGAAGAAGAAGCTTTGAGAGCCCAGAGTGTCACTGGTGGTAGTGCAGAAAAGTTCTGCTCTCTGTTTGGGAGTTGTGTATGCAATACTGTGAACCTTTCCTGGAGACACTTTGAGAAGTACACAGTGAACTACAGGTCTAGAAGACACTTCAAGCCACAACTCTAATGTTAATAGCAAAGATGGTTTCATTTAGTCAAATTGCTGTAAAGAATGGGTCTGTCTGTAAAAATCAGTATAAGCAGGTCATAGCTTGTCCAGAAGAGATTTCACACTGTATTTACTTTTTCTTTCTAGGTAAATCTCAAAATCAGTTAATTGAAAGGATTCTGCAGAAATTACTTTTTAATAAAAGCATCTAATCATGAAAACTATTTGAAGATGTATCATGCTGTAATTCCTAAGGTTACACAACTTGAATTGGCCAAGGGATGAACAACCAGCACAGTGCTGGGAGTTTATGTCCAGAGGTTTTCACCTATTCTGCGCTGAAATCTATTAAGTCTTGGAGCAGTGGTGAGCACCACTGTGATTATATTTGGATATTAAGAAACTTGGCTTTGAGCACCAAATTTTACTATATTGAAATGAGCTGTACTTCAGTGTCTATAGGGTCTGTAAAACGTGACCTGGCCCGAACTGACAGTGGCAGAAGGCTCCGTGGTTTTGCCCCATGGAAAGGCTCCTTTGGGTGAAGGGTGGCCCCCTGTGACAGCTTCTTCCCTGTAAGGAACCGCGGAAAACAGCGGGATCACGCCGCGGGGCCGAGGGCTGGCGGCCACGGGGAGCGGGGAGGGCGCGGAGCCCCGGGGCCGCCGGCGCCGCGTCCTTCCCGCGTTGCTCTGCCCGTGTGATGCCCCCGCTCCGCAGCGCGTCCCCGTCACCCGGCGGGGCTTACGAGGCACAGAGACCCACGCCCGGCAGGGCGCGGGGGAAACCCCCGGAGCGCATCCCTCTCCACCTCCCGGAAACGCCGGCGTTTCCCCTTGGCGCGACCTCACTTCCTCCCGCGCTTCCGTCTCCGGGACGCGCCGGCTCCCACTGCTGCTGCCGCCGCTGCTGCTGCCGCCGCCGCTGCTGCTCGGAGGCCGGAGGCGCCCGCCGGGCGGTGAGTGGGGCCGCGCCGCCCGAGCCCCGCCGGCCCCGCGCCCCGTCCGCGCCGAGGGGAGGGCATGGGGCGCCTCGCCGGGGGCCGTGGCGAGGCGGGAAGGGGCGCCCGAGGAGAAAGCACGGTCGGGGGCGGGAAGGGGTGTCTGGGTCCGGCTCCGTTCCCGCGGGAGGGCTCCGTGCCGCCGCCGGGCCGGAACGGCCGTCCTCCGCGGGAGCGCTCCGCTGCGTCCTCCGCGGGAGCGCTCCGCTCCGTCCTCCGCGGGAGCGCTCCCCGCGAGTCCCGTGCCCGGGTTGGCGCCGCGGGCGCCGCAGCGATGTCCCGGCACGGGGGCTCGTGGCTGTCCGGACAGCTGAGCCCTCCCTCCTTCCCACCGGCCCTGCCCACCCGGCCGGCCGGGCAGGGAGCAGAGCCTTTCCAATGGCGCATCTCCGCCGGCGCCGCTGCCCGCCGCAGCCGCCCGGTGCGGCTCCGCTCGCTTCGGTGGAGCAGCGTGGCAGAGATGAGCCCGCGCCGTGCCGCTTACCCAGCACGGCGTCTTTCGGGCTGCAGATAACAATTGCACGGTTTGCCTCTCGGCTCAGCTAAAAGCACCGTGAAGGGCTTACAGATCTGGAGCAGCATGCGGCTTCGTTTGTATTCATGGACCTGGGGCGGTGGCAGGTGCATCTCAAACTTACTTGTCCAAAACAAAAAGCTTGTAAGGAGAAGTATCAAAAGGAAAAAAGTTTACTAGGGCCCGTGCCATTTGCATGTGCTAGGTTGTTCGAAGTATGTTGCCTGACCCATGAGCGAGGGATAGGTCGTGGTTTGTTTTCCGGGCAAGTGCAGCCACGGGAGTTCTGTCCCAGTGAAACTATACCCTGTTCTGCAGGGGGGGGTTTATGTTTTCAGCTGTACAGTACAAATATGTGTTGGGACAGAAAGTGTAGTCAGCTTTTGAAATTTTACCTCAAATATCTGCACTGATTTTTACCTCTTAATTCATGTTTCTGAAAACAAAGTCAGAGAGACAATTGTTTGGTTTTTTTTGCATCCATTTTTGGTAGTCAGGCATATAGGCATGCACAGGAGCAGATTCTCAAACTCTCATGGAATTTAGTTAATGCAGAACTTTGGATGTGTTGGATGGGAAAAGTTTATGACCTAATGAAAATTGGGCCAAAGTTATCTTCAGTTGCATTTCTTTTTGAGAATGCTGTACAGAGGGAACTGTTTCTAGCTTACCCAATACTGTTTAAAAAGCTATTATGATGTGTAGATTTAGTGGTGTCTGATCACATGAAACATGTGAGGGAAGGCTTCCTAAGCAGTTAAAACTTTACATCTGTAAGATATTGCAGAAAGTCATTAACAAGTTGCTCTCAATTATAACTCCAAAGTTTTTGAGAATCTGACTACTCTGTTGTCTTCATGTGAGCTGCCAAATGTCAGATCTTTGTAAATGCAGTCTTCAGATGGCATTACAACCATGTCTCTATAATCTTATGTGAAGACTATAATCTTCTGTTAAGTGGTGGAAAAGTAATCTCTCTCCTCGTAACCCAAAATGTGGCTGGCAAGGTTTTTTACTCAGCACTATGCAGAAGATCAAAGGTTTTTTGGTAGAGCTGTATAAATTCTGTTACAAGGCTCAAGAGGGTCTTAAATATTTAAGCTATGAGTACATCTGTGTTTAAAGAAGATGTGGTAAACTCTGAGGGCCTTGGAGTGAAAATA